TGCTAATATGCCCACAGAAGAAATTCAAAAGAAATCTATTAGCATGGCCTCTGCACAAGGATAACATGCAAATTTGTTAAGTGTACTGTAATTTTAAAAATCACATGAAAAAACAAACTTTCTAATGAACAGATCAAGATTCTAATTTTGCAGTCAACTCCATGGGTTTTTTTGATTTTATTTTTTTGGGGGTAGGGGACTTGAACTCTGGGCCTATACCCTTTTTTGTGCTTATTTGTGTGTGTGTGTGTGTGTGTGTGTGTGTGTGTGTGTGTGTGTGGTACTGGGGTTTGAACTCAGGGCCTATACCATGAGCCACTCCAGCAGCCTTTTTCTGTGAAGGTTTTTTTTGTTTTGTTTTGTTTTTTGAGATAGGGTCTCATGAATTATTTGTTCGGGCTGGCTTCAAACTGCAATCCTGCTCTCTACCTCCTGAGTAGCTAGGATTATAGATGTGAGACACCAGTGCCTGGCTCAACTCCATATTTTCAACATGAAAAGATTCTACCTATGTAAAATCAAAACATACTGCCCGTTTGAAGAAAATGGATCAATGCTTCTTGCATTTGGTTTACTAGTCTACAGTTATTATTCCAATTCATGCTGATCTAACATTCCAGGAATAATCACCTCTGAATTCACATACCCCCATAATCTTGGGGCGAACTGCAGATTTCTCAACCCCAAATTCATTTAATTTCACTTTAATTTGACATGCCACTCATGCCTCAGCATATTGGGGGAAGTAAGAAAAAAACATGGCAATGACAGATGGTCAGCAATTCAGAATTATGGACTGACAGCATGACTAGTGGAAATGCTGTGAATTTAAAAGTCAGGATGACTGAGGCTAAGGATGGAGCTCAATGGTAGAGCACCTGCCTCACATTCATGAAGCCAGCAGCCCCCATCCCACCTACACCTTACACCTACACCTATACCTACAGCTTGAACCAGGCTGCTGGGGTGCTCAGTTTCCAGCTCTTTCAGTTACTAATGGCATGACCCTGTGCAAACTACTTAACCTCTCTCTGAGCCTCAGTTTCCCCATCTCTAAATGGATATAATAATACCATCATCAATCTCACAAGATTGTTGAGCAAACTAAATGAGTAAAATATTACAAAAAAATTTGCTGTCTTGGGCAAGGAACTTTATTTAAGCTTCTTCATCAGTTAAATGGGTAACAGCTCCTTCACAGGGCTATTTGAAAATTTTTAAATTGAGCCTGTGAGACACTTGTCTCAGAGCCCTGCAAAAAGAGCCACATAGGAAACCTATTTTATGCTTGGCGCTGTATTGTAAGCTTCATATAAATTAGCTCAATCTTACAGAAGCTACACCAAAATGAGTAATATTTCTTCTCACTTTATTCACTTATATAAAACCATAAGTAACTTGTCTTAGATCATGAAGCAAGCAAACAGCAAAGACTTGAACCTTAAGTATATTACATAAGCATTTAAACCAGGGTCTTTGTTCTCTGGCTTAATTAGTGAATTATAAAGGACATTTTTCAGATATTCAGGCTGAGTGTTAAAAACACCAGGGAATTATTCCTAATTTTGTAAGGTGTGAAAATGTTATTGTGGTTTCTCAGAAAAGAAACCACAATAACACTTTCTCTGTGTGTGCACATGTGTGCTCAGGGTGCATGCAGGTTCCAGCTAAGGATGGAAACTAGGGCCTGGAGCACCCCAGGCAAGCACTCCTCTGCTGAGCTACATCCCAAGGCCAACTTTTTAAATTATAAAAGAAAATCTGCAGAAATGTAAATCTTAAGATATATTTCTGTCTGGAATGAGATCAAAGGAGAACAGTCAGTATATTTTCTATTTGGAAACTATCTCTTGGGATCATCATCAACAAAAGCAGACAGGCCTTCTGAATTACCATATATGTAGAAGAGCTAAATAGATTTAAAAACATAACATTAGAAAAGAAAATATTTTAAGTTAAGCACAACTTTACTAGTTGCAAGATTCTAATTAACTGCATTGATGTTACATACATTTTTAAATATCTCACTATCTAATAAAAGCTGTAACTATATTGTGGACTATCATGAAAACCTATTTTAGGGAGTAAGAATGTAGCTCAATGGTAGTGCATTTGCCTAGCACGTGAGACTCTGGCCACCAAAAAACCAACAATAACAAAAAAAAACAAAAAAAAAACCACCCTATTTTATGCAAGGTACAGTATATCTCTCCTAAGTCTCCAGAATTTGATGTCACCAACTATGTAACATCAAATTCTGCCTACTTCCAAAAAGTAGGAGACCTCAATATAAAACCATTAGAAGACAAAATGCAAGCTGAGCACATGCCTGAAATCCTAGCTACTCAGGAGGCAGAGATCAGGAGGAAGGAGGACCACTGTTTAAAACCAGCCCCAGGCAAATAATATGAGACACTGCCTCAAAAAAAAAAAAATCACAAGAAAGGGCTGGGGGAATGATTGAAGCTGTAAGAGCACTCGCCTAGCAAGCTTGAGGCCCTGAGTTTAAACCCCATGCCCTCCCCACAAGATCAAAATTCATATAGAAGAGGGGTAAATACAACTAGCAAAAACTTAGGCTAATATGTCTACTATAATCAAGCAATATCTTAGATCTGAGCTTCCACACTGTGGCAATTAAAAAAAAAAAAAGCAATTGTGGCAAACTCAGAAAGAGAAGAGAAACCTTCTTCCTGGCACTAATGTTTAAAAGGAATTTTTCAGATGGGTCATTACATAAGAAGGTTGAAAATATAATAGACAATGACTACCGTGGCAGTTTACTGCCCTTGTGGCTTGCTTCTGAGGCATCTACTATCTCATGCCAAGGTCATCGCATAAAAGGAACCCCAGAAGGCCATTTCTGCAGTGGCTAAGGCGCCAAGGCTTTCTGATTCTCTAACTGAAACCAGAATCTGGCCTCCAGTATCTATTGTCTCAAGAGGGTTTCTGCCGGCAGTGGAGGCTGACTAGCTCTCAAAGTTTGGAACAGAAATATTTATTGCTGGTGATCCCACCTGAAATAATTTTCTTTGGATAGCACATGGGGTCGAATGCAAGGCTTGTCCTGCTGCTGTGAAGTGAAGGGGCCAGGCCCCCGCGTCCAAGGGATGAAGCCAAGAAATCCAACTGAGGGGGATCAAACCTCTCCAGGGACCCCCAGACCAGAGCATGGCTGTCCCTCACTGCTCCTGCTGCTACTGACATGCCCGTATAAATAAGAACTCAAAGAAATACCTGTTCACCGGCCCAATTTCAAAAAAGAACAAGGCCTAGCAGCGTATTCCTTCCCCTCCATATTGCAGTACTAAAAGCACAACTTCTTCCCACTTTGTTATTCCACCATAGGTATAGGGAGGCAAAGCAAAATGCATGAAATGCAAAGCCCAACAGACGTGGTAGGGCCATCTCTTGCACATCGGGAGGGACCTCCTGTAACCCTGAGTGTCAGGCAGACCGGGGGTTACTGCTGTCAAAGGAAATTCCTTTTCCCGAACATTATCCGCCACCCGCCCCCCCCCCCCGCCCAGCCTGACTATACAAGCTAAAGGATAAAAGGGCATATAAAAAGAAGTGAGACTTCTTAAAGGGTAGAGCACAGCATTCTGTCACCTGCAGCAAGAGACCTTCAACCTCATCCCTGAGTCACTTCCCCTCCCTGCACCCTGGAGTCTCGATGCTCGGCGGAGGGGGCAAAAGACTCAGGGCCTCCGGAGCTAGCTGCCCGCAGCCCCTATTCCCGAGCAGGGAGCCTCCCTCCCGGACGCGTCCCCGCCGCTACCATCTGGCTCTTTGCACCCAAGCCGGCGCCACCGCTACCTTGGCTAATGGCAGCTCTGAATGAAAAGAGCGAGCAAGCTCCGGATTTATGAATGTACAGGGGAGGAGGGATATCATGTGACAATAAAGGAGAACGTCTTATTCACAAAAAAAAAAAAAGTGGCTGGTGGCGGGTACAGCCACCGAGCGGCGGTGGCTACAGTGCGGTGACCGCTTGGACCCCAGGCCGAACCCCGGTGGCGCCCGGCCAGCGGCCCCGCCCCCGTCGTACCCGCGAGGGAAACGCCTCCGGCGAGGGAGAGAAAAACCCCAAACGGGACCCTGCGACCCGGAGGTTGGAGGGAGGCGTGCAGCCTGGCCTAGGGACGAAGACAGGCACGGGTCCCGCGCCGGGCTGCCCAGAAGCCCCTCCAGCGGAGCGCCGGGAGCATTGTTCCCTCCGGGCTCGTGGGCCGGGCACCCGCGTGCACGCGCATCCCCGAGCGCGCGCGCACATACACATATACACACATACACAAACATACACAGCTCCCTGCCAGCTCGCTGCCCCGCACGCCCCCGCGGCACACGCTTCGGATCCGCCCTGACCCCGCGGGACGCGTGTGCCGGCCCACAAGCGCGTGCACACACTCACTCGCGCCGCGGGACCCCCAAGCGACACCGGCGTCCCGGCCCGCGCGCGGACCCGGGCTCCGCAGACCCCTGCGCGGCCCGCGCCTGTCCTCCCCTCGCTCAGCGCTGTTTTTATGAATGAAAATGTGGTATGCAAATGAGAGCGATTCAAGAAAACGAAATGGCGGAGCCTGGGCCCCAGTGGGCTCTGGGGGGACTGCGGGGCCCGCGCCAGGGCGAGAGTCACAAAGTCAAACCCACGACCCCAGGAAGCTTGAGTGGGGGTGTCAGATCTTCCGCCCCGGCCGCCGAAGATGGGGGGGAGTTCCCCGGAGAGGGACCAGGGACCGCCCGGAGGTCACCCGTGCGCCCTTGGCCCCCGCAGCGGCCAGCAGCCCTCCGACCCCAAGCGTTCCCCAGCCATCCTGCTGCAGTTTTTTGCTCCTTCTCAGCTGAACAAGAGGGACATCTCGCACCCCAACCCCGACGGGTCAACGAGTCTCTGCACCCCACGCCAAGTTCACCCAACGAATCTCCGCCCCCGTCCGCGGCCCCGACCCCCACGCTACCCGGCGGGGCACCCTCGTCCCACCCCGCGGCGAACTTACTCGTCCGGGTGTGTTTCTTCGGTCATTTTCTTGTTCACCTAGACGCCTGTCCCGAGGCGGGCAGCTTTGCTCCCTTCATCTTCCTGTCCGCTCACCCCCACTTCACATCTCCGAGATCGCCTGATTTGGTGGTGGTGGTGGTGGTGGGGAGCTAGAGATGAAGGGGGCGCCGAGGCAGAAGGAGAAGCGGGGCGACCCGAGCTCGCGGCAAGGTTGGGGAAGGGGGTGCACGGGCAAGCTCCGGGGAGTGCGCGCCGCAGCGCCGCGAGCCGGCCGGGCGGGGGCTCCCGGGCGCGGAGCAGGCAGAGGGGCGAGATTTGGGCAGGGGACCGCGGGAGGGGAGAGCAGGAGAAAAACAAGCGCGCCTCGGGGCGGCAGGGACTGCTGCGAGGAGGAGGAGGAGGCCAGCCGCGGTGGGGGCTGGGCCCGGGGTCGCCCCCGGGGGGCCGGGCCAATCACGGTTCCGGGGAGCGGTCGGCGGCCGGGGGAGGTGCGCCTGGGAGGCGGTGCAGGGCGCCCCGTCCGAGCCCCATCTCTCGACTCCGCCGATTTACTCCATATTGGATTCTCACCGCCGCCAACAGGAGGAGGAAGTAGGGCGGAAGGGATGACGTCTTCCCAGCGGCCAGAGGTGGTGGAGTGCAAAAAGCTTCCTACTTGCGACCGAAGGGGGGGAAAAAAAAAAAAAAAACAGAAAGAAAAAAAAAAACTTTGTCCCGCCTACTGAGCATGCCCGGCTTCCTTTCCTCCTCCCTCCTGGCTTCCAGTCCCCGAGGGAGCCGCGGAGCCTAGTTGCTTGCGCCGCGTCTGTCTGGCTCCGAATCCTGGTCTCCAGGGCTCCGGGTTTTAGGAAGCCCAAGAGGAGGGAGGAGGCGGGAGCGGGGGACTCGAACACATCTGGCTCCTGTTTAGACCCCTCCCTCCTTCCAAACCTTAGGATTGAAAAATCCAGGGAAGAGGGCTGGGGCGGAGATGAAGAGCTCAAGAGAAGGAAAGGACTTAGGCTGCCGAAAGGGTGACCGGGTGCAGAGGAACAACCACCCCAAGGTGGGGTGTGAGCGTAGGGGCGGCGCAGGTGGCAGCGGCTGGCCTTTCTATCCCCCCCAATCAGAAAGGGAGAGAAGAGAGGGGAGTTGCACTTTGCCAAGGGTCTGAATGGCAGAGGCGGTTTAGTTTCACGTGGGTTCTGTGATGTTTTTTGTCTTGGTAGAAGAGCGGGGATTTTTTTAAGAATATGATTTGTGCATAGAAAAATAAAAAGGTAAACCCAACACAACCCAGAATGTTTGCATTTCATAAAAATGATGGAGTTAAAAGGTTAACTCCAAATATGTTTCTTAAATTATTCAATAAATCTTCCTGTTGGTTGAACGATGGTCCTTGAAGACGGCAGTTAACTGGGCCAGAGGTTGCCAGTCCTGTAGGCTTTTCTCCCCCACCCGCATCCCCGTTGTTTTAAAATTACTTTTCCTGCCTTGTGGGCCCTGCTGGAGGTTTTCTGGGAGGGCCATTCTCTAAGCTGTGTGGGCAGGGCAATGGGCAAGACTAGCTTCCCAGGCATGTAACTCACCTGGTGCAATTGCTAAGGATTTGTGCTTGGTTTCAGGCGCTGTTTGGTTTCACGCTGTGTTTAATTGCTGTCTTGAAATCCATTCTAATTTTTGAGCAAGAACCAACCTTGCACTGGGTCCTACAAATTAAATAGCCATTGGAAATTCCTCCTGAAGTCCTGCCAAGGAGCAAGTGGCATAGTCTCTGCTTCTTCCTGCTCTCCAAACAGTATACTTTTGCATCGTCTTGACTGTGTCATGAGACAACTTCTAGCGATTTTAGCTAAATAGGAACTACTGAATAATGTAGATGATTGCCTCAAAAGTAGAATACCTCAAAGATACATGCATATGGAGAGCTGTAATGCTCCAGAGATGAGTTTCACCTTGAGTCAGGGAGAAACTGGTGGTTTACCTTAGGTTTCCTGCTTATCACAACCATGATCTTTGAACATGAATTAGGGCTCACTGCTTTGATGCTGGGTGTGGGTGATGGATGCATGGTGGTGAGAAGGGCAGTAGACTAGGTGGAACACCTGGTTTCTGGTTTTCTCCTAGCAGACCTGAGACCCTGAGTGTGAGAATTCTATAACTTCCTCAGTTTGACAGCGATAACAAAGCCAACCTTGACTTTCTCAGTTTTTGAGACCATTAAGAATGTAAGAGGGGCTGGTGGAGTAGCTCAAGTGGTAGAGCACCTACTGAGTAAGGTCCTGCGTGCAAACCCCAGTGCTGCCAAAACAAAACAAAAACAAACCCCAAACCCCAACCCCCCCAAAAAAGTTGACTTATACCAAAAAAAGAAGAGAAAAGAACATAAGCGACCAGGGGCCAGGGGCCCATGCCTATAATCCTAGCTACTCAGGAGGCAGAAATTAGGAGGATTGAGGTTCAAGAGCAGCCCAGGCAAACAGTTCAAGAGACCCCATCTCAAAAACCCAACACAAAAAAAAGGCTAGTGGAGTAGCTCAAGTGGTAGAGGGCCTGCCTAGCAAGTGTGAGACCCTGAGTTTAAACCCCAGCACCCCCCCCAAAAAATGTAAGAGAAAAACTCCATAGAAGGAAGATGTAAGGAAATACAAAGAAAAAATGGCCATCTCTGGGACAGGAGCAGATTATCCCTCATAGCCTCAAAGGAGCCCACCCTGCCCACACCCTGGTCTTGGACTTCTGGCTCCAGAACTGACAGAAACTGATGGTTAAGCCTCCTGCTTGACGTTACAGCAGCCCTCTCAAGCTCATATGAGTGTATTCAAGAGATGTGAAAGCCAACATCATGTCTGCACAAAATTTACACATGGAGAGTAGCATGATTCATAGCAGTGGAAAGGTGGAAACAGCCCAAGCACCCATGGGTAGACGAATGGACACACCAGCATGGTCCATCCACATGCTGAAACATTACTCAGCTGTGAAAAAGGAATGAGGCTCTGACACATGGTACAACATAGATGGACCTTGAGAACATCCTGCTCAGTGAGAGAAACCAGACACAAAACACCACATATTGTGTGATTCCATTGATAGACAATTCTAGAACAGGCAAGTCCTGAGACAGGAAGTGGATTCATGGCAGCCAGTGGTGGAGTAGGGGATGGAGTAACTGTTCATGGGGCTAGGGTTTCTTTTGGGAGTGTTTAATTTTTTTTTCTTAAGTTGACTGTGGTGATGGTTGCCCAGCCTGTGAATATACTTAAAAAAAAAATTAGTTATACATTTATTTTTGTCGTGCTGGGGATGGAACCCAGGGCCTGACACAAGCTAGGCAAGCACTGAGCTACATTCTCAGTTCTGAACGGTACAATTGAAATCAGTGAATTTCATATGGGATATGAATTGTACCATAATAAAGCTGTTTAAAAAGAAAGAAAGAATCTAAGGGAAAACACTAGCCAAAGGCAAGATCTGATGTTCTGTTAATCCCATAACTATCCAGTTCTCACTTTTGCCTATTGTTGCTCTTCTCACCAAGGTATTGGAAGATATTCTACTCTCAGTCATTCCTGAACTTCCAGGAACATAGGAATTTATTCATGTCAAAATTACCCACCCAAGGGGCATCTGGATGGCTTCATCCTCCAATTTCAGAGCGCCTAATTGGTAAGGTGGTGGGTATGGGACTCTAACAGACTGAGTTGGTGTCATCAACACTCACTCAACCAGTTGTCTGCTAACAGTGAAGGATGTAGACAGCAAAGAGAACAATGTAAAATATTGTAAGGTCTAACAGTCACAAAGTGACTAGGATCTCCTGTGCCAGACCCAGCTGGGGCATCTTGGCCAGGTCCTTAGATTCTCTTAGCCTTGGGTTCAGTGTGTGTTGTGTCAGAATAATGTTCAGATCAAAGGGCTGCTGGAAGATGAAATGGGCTATACAATGAAGGTACTGTAGGTACAAGATTCCTGGCAATTTTTCCCTCTCTTCAGCCAATTGAATTGCCAAATGTTCCCCTCCAGTCCCAATCCTTATACCTTTAAGTAAAATAAAGCCTCTACGTTCTTTCGTTCTTTCTTCATCACCTAGAAGGAGACTTAGGATGGAAACATTACTAGCATACTAGCAGATCTCTTGTTCCTCCCCATCAATTACTAACTGTAGTTGAGGTCAGTCTGATTCTTGCATCTCCACTGAATAAATGAAGACACCAGGTGAGTAACTCAGATCTCTGTTTATTGATCTAAATATCAGAGTGCTATCAAAGCCCACTAGATCGATACTAGAATAACAGAGTTATTAGGAGTTTCACGGATTTAGAGCATTAAAGACACTGCTGGGAAGAGTTAAGGACCCGTCTCCCAGTCCCTCCCCCATCCAGCAAAACAGGGGCAGGTGGCTGAGAATATGAACTAATCAAGAGTTTCGACTCAGAGGAAGATCGTAAAGCTTTAGAAGTAGTAGCGAGCTGCTCACAACTTCATGCAAACACAGCGGAGCCCCCAGCAGGACCCCACCTACCGCCTCTCAATTCCGAATGCTGGGCGGGGAAGCCCCGCAGCCCTGTTTTTCCCGCCGGCGGCGGGAAAAGCCCGGAGCGCGGAAGCGGAGCGACCCTAGGCGGCGGGATGGGCATGCTCAGTAGACCCGCAGGTTCTGTTTCGCTGGGAAGCCCGTTGCGGCCCCCGCCCCCTCCCAGGCTCCCGTCCCCTCCCCCTCCAGCCAGACCCCGGCGCAGGAGAAGCGGACGTTTTATCCTTTTCTGTAGTCCACTCTGTCGTTGGTGTCCTTCGTCCCCTCTTGCCTGCCTGGGTCTGGTGGGGCTGCAGTGTAGGTTTCCCCGGAGGTGGACTGTGTTGTTGTACGGGTGGGATCTGATCAGATTCCGCCCCCCCAGGGGTGGGGCAGGGGTGTGATCTGGACAGGACTCCACCTGAGGTCTGCACGGCCTGGCCAGCAGTAGACTCCCCACTGCCTCGGCATCCCGCTCCCCGCCCCGCGAGGCGCGCGGTGCTGCGCCCCGGCCTGTCCTCGCCTCACCCCCACTCTACCCCTTCGGTATTTCTCAATGACCCGCGCTGCGAGGACACTTCCGACGCGGGAGGGAAGGGGTGTCATTAGCACTCGGTTTATCAGTTCCTTCCGGTCTGCCCTGGCCCGGCCCTACGCGCTGCCTGGCCGCGCCTCGGGCGCTTTGCTGCCTTTATTATTACGTTTAAATAAGCAGTCGTGTGCCAGGGTATGCCAAGTGAGTTTGTAGCCCAGCTGTCTGCCCCAGCGCCGGCTGGCAGCTCTCGGGTAATGAAGGGGATGATGCAAACTTAGAAACTGATCCGGCGCCCGGGAATGGTTGCCCCCCCGCCTGCTTTCCCTCCCCCGCCCCCCACCATGCCTGGCCCCAGCGCGCGGCGGCCCTGCCGGGGATGAATGGCTGCAGGCCGATTGCATAACCTGCGCGGTATAAATAGCCGGCGGGCCGGCCGCTGACGCGCTCTGTTGTACCGTTATCGTGAAAGAGAGAGGCTTCACCCCTGAGTCGTCCACTCACAGGGCATTTTCCCTTTCAGCTGCAATGCTGCGA